TATTATTTTCATTTTAATTATTATTTTTATTCATTACTACCGTGCATCATTATTACTGCTAACATTAGTATTATTATTCATAAAAAAGGCAGTATATTTTGTGCAGTGTGACTCCTCTTTTGAAGCTCTTCGTGTCTAGAACAAAAAATATAAGAAGAAGCAGTAGAAGACGAAGAACAAGAAGACGAGGAAGAAGAAGAAGGAGGAACGTGTCTTTGCTACTATATGAAATTATTAAATTGAGGACAGTATTTTGTTCCAATTAAAAATTAAGGTAAAAACAAATGGGGAGTTCAATAAAATATCAGTTTTGCTGAAGATCAATCCATAGTAAATGAACCGTGTGCGCATCACAGGAGGTTTCTTTCATTTAACCATAATATTATCAAATACGGATATGACGAAGATATATGGGCAGTGAGCACGAGGCAGTACGTTACAACGGATCTTTCTTTGTATTTTTCTCATAATGTTGACAGACCATACACTGAAGAAAGTCAAGCGGCGTGTAAAAGAAGACGAACAACAATAAAAAGGTATATTCGTACGTAAACACGAAAGGGAACAAAAACTTTAACAGTTCAGTAATGCTACAGGTTAGGGGATATTTCAGACTGCCGTCTACAGAGAGTTATGTCTACGTATTTGGCAGTGCGTATGATTCCTGGCACAGTTAGTCGGACATTCTGTCCTCAAGACAGACCGTGTTGGATGGAAACGGATATAGGAAAATGGAGAAATGGAGGGTTTGGGGAGGTTGGGGTAGGCTAAAGATGTCACTATACTAGAATTATGAAGTTCTATCCGCTATCGTGCCTAGTTTTGAGAAATTTGACTTCTTTAAAATAATGAGTTTCATGGCATGTCAAGCTTTTTCGAATGCAATTCTTTGAATATCTTGATAACATCTCCGAATAATCTTACGACTTTGATAGAGCAGATAGAACAATAACTGGTTTCTGACCCCATGACTCAAAACAATTAAAAATGTTAGACAACCCTTTGCTATTCTAAAGTGGGGCTGTGTATATGTTGAGCAATCTCAGGAAGGCAGTGTCACCTGCTCTTAAACAATCCTTAACGTTTTTGCATTTTATATTTCTCTATACTCTTGAAATAGTACTGCAGGTTATCACGACAATGGAACTCGTAACAAAGGAGAATGCTGAATCAGTCTTCACTGACAGTGGTTATATATTTAAGATTGACATTTAACAAAAAGATTAAAGCAGTTGGGGTGTGAATATTTAAAGTTCCTTTGCATCTCTGATGTAAGAATCCTTTCATACAAGAGTGCATACTGTTCATCCTTTTTAAACATCTTTTTTTCAAACCACATTCAGTGTTTTCCTCTCACTCCATCCCTTTTTCTCATCTATCTGTTTGGCTGCTTGCCCGCCAATCTGTTTTATCTGTCAGTCTATCTCAAACATATCGCACCATCCCCACCCCCACACACATGCACACACATACACACACAGACACACACACATACACTCACGCATACACACACATGCACACACACACACGCACACTACCTCATCAAAATATGTTGGACTATTTTTCTGTTACCTATAAAGTGCAAAATACCCTACTTCCCATAATATGGTCCTATGTTTAATTGCTTTTCACTTTTCCTGCCACTTCATCCACTCATCACAACGCTGAAAGGGGCGATAAACCTATACAATGACCAATCTTCCTCTACTAGCTTGTACCTTCTCTTTTCAACCAAAAAAATGTAACCCCTCCCTTTCTCTCTCTCTCTCTCTCTCTCTCTCTCTCTCTCTCTCTCTAATACTGTGTAAGCCAGAAGTCGAGAAAGACAATACATATTACATATTGCATCTCGACGCAGTGAATAGCACTTTTAATACTCTGTAAGCAAAGGGAAGATTGTTATTTGTTATGGCCGCCGTTCTTAGCCCTCTCCAAAAACTTCGCTGCAAAGTGCGCTCATAATGGGC